AAAGGGTATGGAAGTAAATCCAAAATGAAAAGCAGGTTGAAATCTGCTACACGTTTAGTTACATCTGATGCATGTGTGTGCGTGCGTGCGCGCGCGCGTGCGTGTGTGTGTGTCTGTGTGTGTCTGTGTGTATCTGTGTGTGTGTGTGTGTTCATGCGGAAATCCAACGACAATGTCAATTTTAAATTTGATCTTTGCCTTACATTCAGAAATCCTTGTTCCGTTTCCTCGACACTTTCCATATTCATAACTGATTACACCTCCAGCTAAATCTTTCAGTTTAACATAAATATATCTCTACTATATCTGCCCTAAGAACCGCAAAGTCGTAAACATAACAACAATGTAAAACAGAACCAGTTGAAAGAAAGTTTCTATTTTTCTGAGGGGCTTGGCGAGATATTTTTGACTCGTTATAAATGAATTAATTCGTCGGAAAAATTATACTAAAATTAACTAGCTTACTTTCCGTGGCCACTCTGGTTGACTTCAAAAAGGGATTGAGAATGTTTTTTTTTTTAGTATTTGAATTGATAAAATAATTCAAACGGCTTTTCAGCGGCTTATATTCAAAACAAAAAAATATGAAAATGAGTGTAAACGATTGTTCCCAAACCGGTTAATTTTTTACAATGTAAAGATTTTTAATTGTTGTACGATTTCAAAGACTTTTCAAGCCTATTACAGTATTTTAATACATACTCACCATACAAGAAAGTTAAACAAAGAAAAGATTATAACATGAACCAACACATTGTAATAGTACCAAAAAATTGTATCACAAACAAAGACAGTTTTGAAAGCAACATTTTATTAGCCAATATGTTTGCCAATATGTTATGTTTGCTATAAGAGATGTGTAATATCAAACACCATGTCTGTAAAACGTGAGAGGAGAGCTTTGCATGCATCCCATGTTTTCTTTAAAATCTGTGAGAATAAACAATTAATATTATGATGATCACACGTTTATGTGTACATTTTGCTTTAGAAATGTTTGTCAAATTTTTCGATAAATCGCATTCATAGATCAAAGACTGAACTGCATATCTAAATCTATAAAACCCCACGTTCGCACCTCTCTCTCTCTCTCTCTCTCTGTCTGTCCGCAAAATATTTTCGCCGGACATCACGTCAGAAACGGCAGCGATATATTGAGAACTTTATACGGACTTTTGTTGAAAATAATATGTTAGATGTTTTAAATGTATAACCACAATTTTATTTAAAGAAAAAAAATAAAAATTAAAGGCGTATTCGAATGTAGAGAAACAGTATTATTTATGCAACCGGAAAAGCATTAATATATGTGAAAAAGAACGCATTAAACTGTGACGTCACTATTGCTTATACATTAACTAATGACGTCATCTGCCGTGTTTAGAATAAAAAGAAATGAACTATTTCATTCAAATTTGATTAAGATCTACGTACACTATGAAATGTATACAATACAATTTTTCCGGCCTAAACTCATAAAATTTATTTTATGTATTTGGATTCTAGATCTAGAGATTCTAGATCTAGACTAAATCTAAATCTAAATCTACGCAATAACTAGATCTAGACGTAGACGCTAAGATCTAGATTTAGACTCTAACTTCTCTAAAATTAATTCCAAAAATAAATTTCTATATTTGGACTAAACTATTTCAAGACTTATTTATTTTATACAAAATCTTTGTTTGGAACTGGCTAATTTGGGATAAAAAAATTAATTTGAAAGAATAGGCATATTCGCGTAAGTTAAGATTTTAAAATACGTGTTTCATTCTCCGTATTTTATAAGGTGCCTAAATAGCGAAGATGTTAGTGTACATTAACCCACGCAAGTGGTGCGGGTTCGAGACACACCAAGTCAACTTGGTTAATGTATTTTTTTTTATTATTCTCGGGCTAAACTTAAAAAAAAAATTCTTTTAGGAATCTAGATCTAGATCTAGATTGTCGGGTGTCCGATAGGGCACTTCCCGGCGCCGCAGGCGCTTCAAATTTGGCAGGACCTTGCTTTGGGGCGACAGAACACGGGGGCCGGTTGGCCGAAAAGTCTACGATGAGGGGGTCAAAACTGACCTCGACTGACCGGTACCTTATATGAGCTATACATTTTTAAAAAATGTCCACGGAGGAACCTCTTCATAACTCTTGAGGTCGTAGACCGACCCTCGGGCGAATTAATTAAGCATTCAAATTCTCAATGTTTTCGAAAGCCTAAGCGAAGCTGGGCAACATGCCTAGTTATATTTATAAAGTGCTAGAGATAAATGTATTCGCTAGAGTCAGATCGTTGCAAGTTCGATTTAACAAGACAAATTATCTAAAATATAATGCTTCCCAACATTACTTCAGACAGATAAAATATCTTAAACATTAAGCCTCGTATACAATAAATTATTTCTTACATAATGAAACATATACAATGCATCGGGCAAAAAGTACAAACATACTTCCTCACATACAATTTTTCTGAGCAGAAAATATCTGAAACATAATGTATTTATTACAATACAACAAAGACATACTATCTAAACAATAATGCTTTCAATCCCATATTTTTTAGACAAAATATTTATACTCTCTGGATTTAGGATATTTCGTAAGGTAACCCTCAAAATGAACGACTTAACATAACCTGAAAATTTCCAGTGAACGGAAACAACAGAAAAAACATTTCAACATCACCTAAAAATTTCCGGTGAACGGAAACAACAGAATAAACATCTCAACATCACCTGAAAATTTCCGGTGACCGGGCGACAGTTCTCACACTTGGGGCATACGTCACAGATGGTGGAGTCTTTCAGAAGTTGTGATTGGTAGAACACTGTCACCTGGTTGCCTGTAGTATATAAAACTTTCTTATTAAGGGGGGGGGGGGGATTTTTAATCTATGCATAATTTTTTAACAAATATAAAATACTTGATAAATGAGGGAGAAATAAAATGCGCTAGGTTGATAGTGTTGTCTTTTTCTTTACGTCGAAACCAAAACCGAAATCCCCACCTCAACTTCAAATTTAACCGGAAACGAAAAATGTAATGGAAAACGGATTTTTATCCTGAATCGGCATTTTAACTCGATCGGGAAATTTTAGCGGGATACGGAAAATTAGGCAAGAAACGAAAGAAATTTAACCGAATTTCCATTTTCATTCTTCTTAGTGTTGGGAGGGATCGAGCCTTATCTGCCAGAGGGTTTGAACTAGAGACTTTTTTTCGAATTTATCAACCATGAGCTTTTGCCGACTCGACCATGCTTTCATCACAATTAAGGATTACGTGTCAACTGGTTATGCGCCATTGAGGCCATTGACTCCGATTTCAGCCTGCTTTTTTTTTTGGATTTGCTTCCATAGCCTTTGTCCAACCAAGAACAAACTACGAGGCAGCAGTTGTTTGATTTTGGAGTTGCCTCTCCTAGAAGAGTGGTTGTCCCCAGCTAACGAGCCTCATCTGCCCGAGGGTTCGAACTCGAGACTTTTCGGATTAGCAACCATGAGCTTTACCGACTCGACCACGCCGACCAATTTTCATTTTAAAGGGATTTTTAAAATCCCAAACGGGTATTTTAAAAGGATTCCAAACTTTTACCGGATGGATACGGAAACTAAGGAAGAACAGGAAATTAAAAAGGATACATAATTTATTGAAGTTGGAACTGTATCCGGAATCGGCACTATTACCGGATCCGTAAATTTCCTGTTTTGTATTCATCAATCAATGACGCCGTTGTATTTTTTGTGCAGACGCTAAATCTAGACATTACCACAATACTTTTTCTGGTAATTCTGACCTGCACGTAGTCACTGCACATTTATTCTAAATAGAGTCGTAGATCATACTCCTAAAAATTGCCTCTAATTTCACCATTAACAAAGGTCGTATTCTTTCAGGCATCTCTTCGGAGGGATTCCCCCCCTACCCCCCTGAAAGAAACGCTGACAGCAATTTTCAGCTTGTAAATCATACAGACTAAAGCTAGACACTACATCTAAAATTAAGACGTGTTGCCTACTTTTGACCTCTAGACAGTTTTTCTTTCAGACTTTTTCTTCTGTGGGTGAGGGGCAGTTTAAATTTTCGGGAGGTGGGGGTAGACTTAATTTTGCCCTGGGGCCGACAATAGTAATAGTATATATTTTCTATCTAAGCTATATTTCTGGAGAGGGGCAGTAGATTTTCTTCAGCGTTAGGGGGGTGGGGGGGAGCAGACTTGCCGAAGAGAAGCCTGAAAGAAAGAAACACTTTTAAGATTAGACAAAGAAGTTTGTGTGGTGATGTTATTGTCTTTATTATCGAGTATCGATGACTTCATTAATATTGTGCATTGTTTTCGGCATTAGATTTAATTACTCTAGAATCAATGACGTCTTTCTTTTTTTTTGTAGTTTTTAAAAGTTCAATAAACTCTAAAATTTTCGCTTTGGTTAACTTAATTAGATATATCTTTATTAGTTTCATATGACGTCATTCAATCTGCACAAGACAGCTTTATTTTTCTTGTGTTTTCTCTAGAGCATTCAAGACCGATGACAGATAGAACGATAGACAAACACAGTGACAGAATATTATAAATATTTATTGAAAACCATCTAGAATTAGACAAATTAATTTAGTATTTTCCGGTTTTTTTTTAAACTGAATCCACTTAAAATATTCTTTTAAGACTTACTATAATTTTACTGACAGTTTAATTAATATGTACTTTAGTCACGCCTAGTTTGTTTTGTTGATTATGTTTATATAAGAGTGTAGATATAAATTTTGAGAGAAAACGAATATTAAGTGTATAATATAAATTATCCATAGAAATTTACTCAACGTCCAAAAAACATACTTCCTTCCTGTGATATAATTTCTACTTAACATTTGAAATATAGTTCATTATAACCCTAACCCTAACCGCAACCATAATCCGGATGTGAAAACCAATGTTTGATTTAAATCTGTAAACGGATATTTGTCAATTAAACAATGTTAGTAAAAAACCTGTGACCTACGTGGCTCATAGTAGTCATAGACCCTGACGGCAGCTGGCTGGGACTTGGCAACAAAATCAACTCGTCTGACTCTAAGGTTTAAACACACGGGCGTCGTGCCGATCTGGGACGAAGAGACACATATTAAGTGTATAGATAGTACATACACCTTGGTTCAAGACAATTCTCAAGGTATTTTAAAATGTTTTTATTGTAATGAAGTTAAATTTTATCGATGAGCATAACCACCTTAAACTAAACCAGTCTAGGAAATCCTTTTCAACTGAAAAAAAAAAGTTTTTCGTCACACTGACCTTGTCAAAGTAGAGAATGACCTTCTTGTTTTGTGTCTCGACTCTCTTCACGATGTCGAGTTTGGTGATTTTTTCAAGGTCAGCCTCAAAGCCTGATGGGATACCGATCTCTTGGACGGCCATTCCACTGCTGGGTCCATTTCCTAGCCATCTTGTTGTGTAAGAAGGTATTAAAATTTTAATGACAGTTTATTATTAATCATTGAACTGAGTGCTTATAACCCTAAGTGCCATAACAGTGATAAGTTAAACACACTTAGACACAGTGGCAATATATGAAGATGGTGTCACAATAGACTGATCTAAGTTTTGAGTGTAGAGCGTGTTTGTAGGGGGGTGTCTAAATTTCATATAAATAAACTTGGAGAGGACACAAATACTAAACATATACACAAAGAATAGTTCTGAACAGTCAATTTTATAATTATACTTTTCTCCATATTAAAGATCTATATTAATCCCAAATTTTTCCCAACAATTTTTGAGAAGGTAAGCGCCCCCCGCCTTCCACACTTCTTGCCACCCCTTAAATCCGACAATAAACACACCTTATGCATGTCTCTATATCCAAAGTTTTTAGAGTCTCCTTTACCATTTTTACTTTCAGATCAAAGGATTTTGCCTCTATTTCAGACAGCACATTGAAACTTACAGCCACCTATATAAGCAACACAATGTCAGAACATTATATGAGAAGTATTACTTGTCATACATATATATTTATTGAATAGCAAACTACAGGGTATTTTCTCTTATAGCCTAGTTACATTTTTATCTTTTTCATTTATATTTTAGTTTATTAAAAACTAACGTAGACCACATAACATAATCATCACTACTTTTACTGAGAATGTTTTATATCATAAAACTCATTTTCAGAGTTTGAAAGATTTTGGGTATTTCATAAACGAAGTGGCGATTTTTAAAAAAAATCTATTTTAAATTTCTTCCGAACCTGACGGTTCATGGAGCAAGTGAAGTAGAGTTCACCTGCTTGTGTGACCATCGGCGTTTTCAATAAGAGATAGTGTGGGGTTCTTTCGCATACTCTTCCATTACATTTTTTCAGCCCCCTACCTATCGTCATACATCATCACAAACGTCCACATTCCCTTCTCATCCCTAAGAATGGCGTTATTTATCGACAACCCAATAGCCATAAATGAAATGAACGATGATTCCTGTTCTATTAAAATCATAGGGTAGAGAGAACATACCTGAACAAGAGCCATGCCATATCCAGTAGCTGTAATAACAACTTGAGCAGGAACTGTCGTATTCTATATATACATGGAAACATATAGAGAAATAAATAACTATATATATATATATATACGTGCTATATACATATATTTATATTTGCATTGTGCATTTTATATATTAGTAGCGTGCCCGTCGCCGCGCGTTATAGCAATCTTAGAAGAAAGTCTGACAAAATATTGTATTTCATCAATGTGTTACCAATCATATGTTCTTAAAACAGTGACCTTGTTTACTAAAACTGAGTTATTTAAATGTAAACAATGCCTGCGCTATATTTTTTGGTTGATATTTTCGGGGCACGGGTCTGCCCACACTACCGTCCTGTACACCCCTGAGCGAGCCAAACGGCGCCATGCCGGGGTGCCTGATTTTATTTGGTAAACGACTATATTCATAGCATATCGCACCCTTTAAAACGAACATATGTGCCATTGCGATCACGGTAAAGTCCGGGGTGTCAAATCGCATACTGCCAGGTCGCCTCGGTGAAAATGAATTTTTTTTTCACAGAAACTTCTCCTGGAGTATTCACATCAACGCCTCAAAGTTTTATGGCGATCGGATGAAAGGTGTAGTAATGTATAAATAACAAACAAACAAACCCATACAAACTTTGTTTTTTACATATTATATATATATATATATATATATATATATATATATATATATATATATATATATATATATATATATATATATATATATATATATACTTATATATATGTATATATAAAATTGTATATTAGTTGATGTGATAGATGTATATTCTTAAAAAATTAAGTTTGGACTATCGACCTCTTTAGACTGCAGCAGAAGTGAGTTGGTCTTGTCAATATCAAAGGTGTATGTAGTCTCATCGTCCAGCTGGGTGGTGATGTGGAGTTTTACTTTATTTCTGGGCATCTGCTTGGCGTACTCGCTGAGGGCGTTCAGGGCAACCACTGTGTCCTATAGTGAAGTCGACAAATAAAAGACTCGATCTTTGATTAATTTATAACACTACATTTTAAAACGATTTATAAAGAGGCGGGGTATGTTTCATACAAATTCAATAAATTGGCCAAAAATAAATACAGTCTAAAAATTTTGTTTAGAGTTTAACACTGTTAATGTCTTGATAAACCTGTGTGGATATGAAGCCACCGTTGGCGTTTCTCTGTTTGGTGATCCACTGCATGATGCTCTTGCCCGCCACCAAGTCGCCCCGCTTTGTGTAGGTCAGCAAGACGTAGGCGGTCATCTCAATGTCAATGGCCTTGGTGGGGTTAGGCCAGTGCCATGGGTCGGTAGAGGTCTTAGGGGGCTCATGCTGGTGCCAGTACACCGTGCCGTCTATTTATAGAAAGAAAAAATGGAATTTTTCAACTGCGCGGTATACAATAGCAATGTGCTGATTGTATTGTAGACGTAATACCAATGGAGGCGGGTTTGATCATTATTGTTTAAATGGACAAGAGACCAGTTTTTTTTTATTCTGAAAACACCACGTCCTTGTAATTTGTATTAAAAATGTGCCAATACAATTATTAAATACATTTTTTTAAAAATCATATAACCTAGCTCAGTCATGATTGTTGTAATTTTTAACTGCTTTTTATTTTGTTCACAACGTCTGTTTGTTTGGTTGTGTGTTTATTTGTTTGTTGGTTTGTGGCAAATCGTGTAACTCAATTTTCATCCACGTTTAACACGCCGATTTGGTTCAATCTTTTCACATACGTTCCACTTCGATGACAATACAAGTCTGTCTATTTTTTATTTACTAAAATTTTTAATAAGTCATTAAAATTAATTAAACATTTTCGAAACTAAGAGGAGATAACAAAATTAAATCAATTGATAGACTAATAGATTCAATATCAGCAGGTGGGATAACTAGCAAGACGCAATCACCCTAAAATTCTGGTGAGCTGTGGTTCACGAGTATGTTTACTATCATAGAGTCGGCAGTGGCGTAGCGAGATCAGGTGTCACCCGGTGCGGCACTTAATGGTGTCACCCCCAAAGGCGTAGCGATACTTCCCGGGGACAAACTTTCGATTTGCACCCCCCTCAAAATTTCCATTTGCACCTCTTAAAAGACTATTTCGCACTCGAATTAATCACTTAATTAATCACCTATTGACCCAGTTACTTCGGCCCCAATCGATGTGAGCGCGCTGGCCGTGATCGTATAGTGGTTAGTACTTCGCGTTGTGGCCGCGACAACCTAGGTTCGAATCCTGGTCGCTCAAGATTTTTAGTCCGTGTATTTATAAACACTTTTTTAAAAACCACGTTTTTCATGTGTAGCAACGGACTAAAAAGGAGAAAATAAAATACTTAAAAAAAACTTTTTAAAAAACCACGTTTTTCTTGTGGACTAAAAAGTAGAAAATAAAATTTTCTTTTGTGCTTCCTCGAGCTGTGCAGGTTCTTGTGATGACTGACAAAAAACGTGGGTCGGGCAGATGGGTCGGGAAATTTGATGGTGAACGTACCCACGTTTTTTGTCAGTCATCACAACAACCTGCACAGCTCGAGGAAGCACAAAAGAAAATTTTATTTTCTACTTTTTAGTCCACAAGAAAAACGTGGTTTTTTAAAAAGTTTTTTTAAAGTATTTTTTAAAAAGTTAAACCAAGAGGAGGTAACAAAATTAAGAACTTTCCTTAAGAACTTCGCTGCAAATTGTGGTCACAGACGGGTTTTTCACGGGGCAGATCGTCCTTTAGATATTTCTAGTTACTGACGGTGTTGTAAAGCAATTTTTTAGTCTTGTTGACTTTATAAATTAAGAATCATTCGAAAATGAAAAACCTTTATAGCAACAAACTTTTAAAAATATGTAGATCTTATGAGCGACCAAAGATTTTATTAAAGAAAAACAGTTATTTTTATATACTTATTTTCAGTGGATATAAAATCTTATTACTATAAAGGTTTTTTATGCTTGTTTTATGTGTGATAAACCTGCTATATCCTATACACCACCCCCTATTTTAATCATCTGTCTTACAAATTTATAACAGCCATGTCACGAGTTTACATTGAATAGAATGATTGCATTTAAGATTTTGCATTGTTGTTCGAGTTATTGCTTCGTGTTCTGTTACACTGTGAGGGGGTAGCTTTGGTTTTAAAAGACGCCGAGGGAGAGGGGGGGGGGGGAGGGAGAGAACTGTTAAAGAATAAGGATCAAGGCGGGGGTTCCGTAATGGGCGTCGGGGGTTAATAGTGTTTTTTGTGCGTTGATATTTAGTAGGCAATGCGGGCACAGTGTAATTATAAAAGTTCTCAAAGACTGCGGTGAATATACAAGCGTCATATAAGACAGAGGGAAGTATTTACCCTTCTGAGTTGACTCAGCTTCCAGTTTGTCTAGAACAGCTTGGGTCATGTTGCTGCCGGCAAGTTGGAAAGCGTAAGACGCCATGGCGAGAACGTAGAGATCATCCAACTTGGCAACTTCCTGTTCAGCGTAGGCCAGGGCTTTTTGTATAGCCTCATCGACATTCTTGGAATAAATGCGGTTTTCATATTACGTTACTGAGATATTGATTTTTTTTTTAAATTACAACTTCTAAGGACAAAACAAGCATTTGATTAACATTGTCTGGGACAATGCGAACTTCTAAATAATTTAGATTCATTGTATGAGAATTGTAAGATTCTGGTTAAAGCGTTCGTTGTTAATTTTACAAGACCCCCCGGATATATTTAACATATAATGCATTTTTTTAACCCACGCCGCTTAAATAAACTGTTAAAACACGTTTTTGATGATGAGAAAATACGATGTTATTGTGAGTTCTTACTTCAATAGAGACGATGTTCTTTCATTCCCAACTTTATTTATATTGATAAAGTATATCCATGAGGAATAATAATCATAAATCCATAGAAGGATAACAATGATACAAGTACAAACCAGACGGCGTGGTGACGACTTACATTCTTCTATACAGGCACCCACTTGTCCACCTTACGCTCCCCTTTTACACACCTCATTCTCTCCACTAATGCCAGTTAGCGATATAACAAAAAGCATGGAAAAACATGAGTAGTCGCCCACACAGTCTTTCCGTTGGCCAGGAATTCTACTTTCATACAAGTTCATGGTAAATATAATATAAATAAACAATACCAAAAGTACAGTCGGTTACATAAACAAATCCTTTTCATGTGCATTGAAGAGACAAGAAATTAGTACTCTCTTTGTTTCTTGATTATAGCTTTATAGTGTATTTTTAATTATGACTTGATTCGTATTGTTAATAAAAAAATATGTGAAATAAAAACTGTTACTTGTGGTTGTAAAGACGTCGGGTCCATCGCATTTTGAGAGAGTATCAGAAAATAGTATTTTTTATTTGAATAACTCGGCTAGCTATTAAAAACTTACTCTTTACCGAAATTATATATAAGTTAACCCGCAACGTGCCAGTGTGTCCGTTAACTATTTCTTTACCACTATCCAAATTAACCCTCTACTTACAGTGTTCGTTTGGTCCTCATGGTTCTCCAGTAGTGAGATCAGCACAAACAGGGTCAACCCGACCCCTGACCCTGTTTGACCCTGCAGGTAGACACAAATAATAAAAATAAAATTAGTCTCATGCTTTGTTATTGTTTTTTCTTCATGAACATTGTCAAGCTGTTTGTACAATGTTTCGGCTGACGTGTAGTGTTTCTTTCAGACTTTTGTCTCCGTAACAGGGGGCAGGGCACAACATCTTTAGGCGGACGGACAAAATTTTCCGGGGGGGGGGGAGGGCGGTCACTATTCAAAGTAAATATATCAATTGTATTTAATTTGGCGCCTGGGGGGGGGGGGGGGGGAGGGGGGGAGGGCATTGACGTTCTTCGGAGGGGGGAATGGCACTGAAGAGGTGCCTGAAAAAAACTCTTCTCACCTGCATGTTCTTGTCGTAAACGTATCCGGTTTCCGGAAAGCTGCCGTCTGTTTTTTGTTGCTGTATCATCCACTGGATGGCGTCGTTGAGGATGTTGTCATCCACAAAGATGTGACGTTTGGCCTGGTGGAAGACGCGGGCTACAAAAGCTGTCAGCCTGTGAAGATTCAGAGAATTTTTCTTTTTTTTTTACTTTAAACGTCATTTTAACCTCTGTCTGTGAAAACCTTTGAACGTAATTCTATTGCATTGCATTGAATTGTACAAAACTTGGAAAGAGCATTCCGTGCCGGTCCTTTGTGTCTTGGTAAAAAAAAAAGATGATAAGTAATTCTACAAATACTAGACTGCAACTTTTTATGTGCTTTTGGCCTAAAACATTAAGACTTAAATCTTTTTTAACTACTCATTGTTATAATAAAACAAATGTGGTAAAAATCGATGAAAAAAATATTTAATTTGGAATTCCGAGTTACTCACGTCGAATACAATCTTTCTTCTTTGATATCTTTTTTTTCCCTTTACAATTATCCGGCTTTACTAGAGGAATTTTTAAGCTTATGCACTCATAAATAAAAACCTCAATTATACAATGAGTTTAATCGAAGTATCTTTTTTTCTGTCAAGCTAAAAATTATATTTTTGCATAAAAAAAACAATCCGTGAAAAACAAAACAAATTAGTGATTAGTTTGTCAAAACATGGAGTTAAAATACATCCGTCTTAATGTAGATGCGGAACAAAACAACATTTTTTAGCTTATCAGTCGGTCATTTCAACTTTTACCATTCTAGCTGATTGTTGTAGGGACAGTTTACACACATCTCTAAACATACGAGTTCTACACTTACCAATGGCTAGAAAAAGTTCACATGAACATTTAAATCTACCACATTGTAGAAATATATCGCACGAACTTCTGAACGTATCACCACATTCTGGAATATTGCTCACACACATCGCAACCTACCACATGCTTGAAATATTTTGTTTAAATCTCTTTACAAGTGGTTTTTAAACTAGATTCGATCGATCCCCAGGGGTTATATGATTCACGATCGGGTTTTGTCAGCGTGAAAGATAGAACTATAAAGAATGGGACGGTAGATGCGCTTATGAAACTGGTATTGTTTGTTAAGCCTACCTCCAAAAAGGTCAAATATTTCACATCAACCTATTAACCTACCACAAACTGGAAATATTTCACATCATCCTCTAAACCTACCAAATGCTAGAGATATTTCAAATGAACCCACAAACCAACAACACGCCAGAAATATTTCACATTAACCTCTAAACCAACCACATGCTTTGAATATTTTACATCAACCTATAAAGCTATCACATACATGAAATATTTCACATAAACCTCCAAAGCAACCAGAAGCTGTAAATATTTCACGTAAACCTCTAAACATACCAAATGCTGTAAATATTTCAGGCAAACATCTAAACCTACCACATGGTGTAAATATTTCATATAAACCTCTGTACCTACCACATACTGCCCGACCTGTCGTAGGAGCCAAAAACACTGAACGAGCCGTCACTGCGTTTGTAGCTCAGTTCGCCTTGGTAGCCTGGGTAACATCACGAATGTACATAACGTTTATAATGAATGCATATCTATGTTAAACAAGGCAGTACATCATATAATAATATGTAGAAATACTTAAAGTGTCTAGTTATTTGTAAGATAATTTAAATTTTTGTAATAGTCGTACCACGCTCCATAAATCCGATGGCTTTAGCCTTGACGTCTCCATTCAGTTGATTGACGGCCTTAAGGTAATCTGTGACGTAGACATCCGGTGCCAGATTGACCATGTTTTGTTCCCCACATCCGGTGGGCATCTGGAGCAGGGAGTCCAGTTTCGCGATGGTAGGACCCATCAGGTCACCTGAAGGGTGTTATAATTTAATGCAAAGTAGGCTACGACTGTTTTTATGCAAATCCTAAAAAAAAAATTATTCGTTCTGATTACCATTGTACACCAACAACTAAGACACCCTCCCCTTTATCCCGTCCATACCAAGATACCTCCTCCCCTTATACCCATACCAACGCGACTGTCTACCACTAACCACTGGAAAATAAGAAAACAATTATTACCCCCCTCTCCCCGAAATGGGTCTACAACTGATTCCCGAAAGCCTTTTTCACGAATGGATACTTCCACGAATACGACAAATTCCCGAATGGACACATGCCCGAATGCGACAAATGCCCAAGTGGACGCTTGCACGATTGCGAAAATTCCCGAATGGACACTTGAAAATTCTACGCCTATAATGGCTACCTTTGTTGGACAGCAGAGATCCTATATAACTACACCTCTTGTTGCTACTACTGAAGGCTACGAACCCCCCCCCCCCCTCCTTATAATTAACCCAATGATTGCCACAACCTACGGACAACTACGATCCTGTCTTTATTTTCTTCCTGCCACCATCTACCGATCAATAACACATTCATTTCACCACGTATATCATCTCTAATTACACACCGACAGCATATATTACTGTCACCCCCCCCCCCTTCCTTCCCTATATTTACGCCCATGACAATTACTACCTACCGACAACCGAAATTCTAACAAGTTCAGATCCCTTCACTACTTTGTCTGGCAGCGTGAGGTCAATGGTCTTTGAGAAAGTTTTTTTGCCGTCTGTCAGGTCGATGAGGACAGGGATGTTGTATTGTTTGGGGACCCCTTCAGCCTGTGGATAGACCAGCTAATGATACATACGACTGTAGGATAATAAAGTAGTTCTCTTTTCAAGCCTGACGGTCCATGGGGTAAGTGAAGTAGATTTTATCTTTTTTCTGTGACCACGGCATACGAAAGGAAAGTGTGCCCAGGCACTTTTACTTTCCCTAACGTGAGTTAGGTACCCATGAGAGTTGGGTGGACTAAGGAAGATTCTACTGGCGAACCAGGATTCGAACTAGGGTCCTTCAGTAGTCTAGCGGTCTACCACTAGGCCACACCGACCCCCGTTGTAGAACATTACTCTCGTGCTAATGACACCCGCGGTCGTCATGACGACTGCTATAAGTTCTTTAGATAAACTAACAATCTCTTTATCTTTATAATTTTCTTCCATGGTAACTAATCTGTTATGGTGAGTACAGGTATGTGGGATAAGCTCGATTCTTTATCATGTTCAACTCGTCCTGGATTAGTGGCATTTCAAGAGTTGTTTCTATCCGTATAAAAGACAAACTAGCACCAACGAAGCTAACTACGCATCCACCTCATTTTACCTCAACAAGGAGTTGTCTACGCACAGCGTCAGCGGCCTTGGACGACTGGGCCTTGACCTCCACGTCATTTCTACCAAGGTCGGCAGGGACGATGGGGAAATACACAGACTTGGCCTCACCAGCCTTGACCTTTAAACGTACATATTTTGAGATTGTTTCGTGAAATTCAGCAATATTTAAAAAGAAATTTTTTTTGAAACGTAAACTTGATCGTGTAACTACATAATGTGAGAAATTTTACAAGTCGTAAGTACTTCATTTTTGTAAAATACAATAACAAGACACAAAACAAACAAAAAATTTACCATAACCTCCTGTACAACATCAACCTGTTTCAGTTCCTGGTTTCCTGAGGCGTCGATGAAGATGTTGTGGAAACGTTTAGACTCCGCCAAAGTCACACGTACCTGAATTTTAATAAAAAAAAATAGTTTATTTTCTTATTTTCAGTGCATTTAAAAGCTTGTTGCTTTAATTTTTTTTTTATATTTTTTTTTATTTTCTACCTTTTAGTGATTCCTACTTTATAAAGTCGATACGACTTAAAACATTTGGTTTAAAACACCATCAATCGCTCGCAATCTATATATATATAATTCTCTTCTGGGAGACGCTAGAAAACAAGCTGTAAGCGCGCCTTGCAGTCCCCTCTATTCTTCACTAGGCATAAATCAACCTCCCCCACCCCCACATGGTCTGGTGAGCTGTGGTTCACGCTAAATGTTTATAAACATAGAGCCGGGTTTAGTGACTCCTATTAGGGGCAGATAATTTAGTTTGAAACTATTTTAAACATAGGGGAGGTAATTAAGAGGAGGCTGCTTTCACGAGGGTGGGGCGGGGTAGGGTAGGGGTTGGGGGAAATGAGGGTGGGCAGGGGGTTATCGTCCTTAACTATCAACTGATAGTATTTTAAAGCAAATATGTTCAGTGGCGGGGGAGGGTGGTAGGGTAGGGGTTGGGGGAAATGAGGGTGGGCGGGGGGGTTATCGTCCTTAACGACCAACTGATAGTATTTTAAAGCAAATATTTTCAGTGGCAGCATTGGTACTGTCGAATTCACACATTTTGAATTACTGAAAAGTAGAAAATAAAACAACTAAATAGCGGCGTATGATACGCCGCGGGTCGGCTCGTATTTAAAAAAAAAACGATTTTCAACCCCATTAAAGCTGCCGTCCGTGACCATATTTTACAGACGACAGCATGTTCTTAATTTCTTTCCCTGGTTTTATGTCTTTAAAAAATTTATTATCTGCCCCTAATAGCTTTTACTTGATCGACCGGCTCTACGATTGTCAACATTCTCGTGAACCACAGCTCACCAGACTGTTAGGGTGATTGCGTCTTACTAGTAATCTCCCCTTCTGTTAATAAATATAGTAATCTATCGGTTAATTTAATTGTGTTATCGCCTCTTAGTTTCAAAACAATTTAATTAATTTATAACTACTATTTAAACATCTAAATTAAAACAATAGATAGACTTGTATTGTTATCGAAGTGGAAAGTATCTCAACTGAAAGTTTGAACGAAATCTCGGCATTGGAAGTGTGTCAAAATTGAGTTACAATATTTGCCACAAACTCACAAATAAACATATATATATATATATGAATATATATATATATATATATATATATATATATATATATATATATATATATATATATATATATATATATATATATATATATATATATATATATATATATATATACATATATAAGGATGTACATAGCGTCTCTTCCCACCTGCATATCGTCTGGCAGGTAGTTGAAGACGTTTGCTTGAAGTGCCAGCTGCTCACCACGAGTCACAGAGTAGGGGAGGTTGAGGCTTACAAAAAACGGTCGGAAGACTTTCAGCTGGAACAGATTGTAACGTGAAATATATATTTTAAAAAATATCAGAAACTCAGGTATTTGGTTCTAGATGGATTCAATTAAACAAAAGTAATTGCAAATAATAAGTATAAGTTGTTTAAACGCCTATATACATATGTTTATAAGTATATAATGAAAGATTATTCAAATGTGTAACTCCACTTTCAGCTGTTCATTAGGGTGTGTGTTTATTGGAATGTTATGATTTAATTAGGGTCACGCTAAGGCTTTAGCAATCAACATAAAGTGTTAGGTTAGTACTTTCTATTTGACAAGAGCATTATTTTGCTTTAAGATGTCTCTAATTTGATTATCATAAATCTTTATAGACTCACGTGTGCTTGTGTTGGGGCCACGCCCAGACCTGATTTTGAGTTGATGGCGAAGGCGCTGACCACCCATGACGTAATTGTGTCTGGTACAGTGGCTGTGATGGAAGCTGAGCCGTTCGATCTGTGAAGTAAAACAAAATTTTACATACATTAAAAAATACAGACATTAAATGCATTGAGGCATCATTATATAACGCTCAATGTAACTTAATAACAATATGGATAGCATCGCTAGGCTATAAGCCCGAAAATCTCTAGGTCGGATCTCGGTTCGGACATATGACTGAGTTTACCCAGCTCTGATTGGTACTTGGCATGTCGGGAAAAAAATAAAAATGGCTGGGCATAGTGTTGACCACACCATCCCATAGTACGCGGAGGTAAAGAGACAAATGATCTCAACTTCATCTGCCCAATCGATCGCTAAAGAGGAATGTTTACTTTAAATAACAATACCATAAAGCAGTGGCGTAGCGCGGTCGGGTGTCACCCGGTGCTGAACTTAATGGTGTCACCCCCCCCCCCCAGAAGCGTTGCGACCCTTCCCGGGGACAAACTTCCAAGTTTTCGATTTGCACCCCCCCTCAAACTTTCGATTTACACCCCCCCCCCTCAAGTTTTCGATTTGCACACCCCCCCTCAAGTTTTTGATTTGCACCCCCCTCAAGTGTTTTTTCTCTATATATTTTGCTATTTTTTGCCTTGGTGTCACCCCCTTAAATGGTGTCACCCAGTGCGATCCGCACCCCCGCCCCCCCCCCCCCTCGCTACGCCCCTGCCATAAAACAAAGGATTTCGCAGTTTTCTGAGACTAAAACTATTTAGAAACAACTCAGTAGGTTTTCAACAACCGATTTTGCTAAATCAACAACCCCTTTTGTTGCATCAAATAACCCATATCGTTAAATAAACAAATCATTTTGTTACATCAACGTTTTGCTACATAAGCAACCCATTTTACTACATCAACAACCCATTATGTTACATCAACAACCCATTTTACTACATCAACAACCCATTTTGTTACATCAACATTTTACTACATCAACAACCCATTTTACTACATCAACAGCCCATTTTACTACATCAACAACCCATTTTGTTACATCAACAACCCATGTTACTACATCAACAACCCATTATGTTACATCAACAACCAATTTTGCTACATCAACAACCCCTTTTACCCAACATGAAGATCAGACCAGAGCCAAGACTCAGGGAAGATCTTCCTGACACGTACAGGTTCTTGAAACTGTGGACCTGCTTTAAAAAACAAATCGAATTTTAACAGGTAAATGTGAATATGATTATGAAATGACATGTTAATTAAATACGAAAGCAAAGTGGAATTCAGATGAAAGAACAAGTAAAATGTAGATGTAACAGTAGAGGCAGAGGTGAAGGTAAATGTGAACGTGAACGAGAACTTGTAATAATACAAGTAGAAGTAGAGGCAGCGGCAGTAAACGTGAACGTGAACGTAGACGTGGACGTAGACGCGGACGTGTAAGAAAACTAAAACGAAAACGCAATCCAAAGGCAAACACAATAGCGAATGTGAATGTCACTGTGAATTCGAAAAACAATACGAATATGAAAACTAGCTTAAAATTAAATATTCGTAATAAATGTCAGTCTCAAATAAGAAAATAAATGCCCACATTAAATTTTCACCCACCTGATTTTGGCTCTGGCTCTGACGCTCTGTATAGCTCTGGCTCTGGTTCTGGCTCTGGTTCTGGCTCTGGTTCTGGCTCTACTTCAGGCTCTGGTTCTGGCTCTGGTTCCGGTTCTGGTTCTGGCTCTGCCATCGGCTCAATATCAAAGAACGCACCGGTATCGTCAACTGTTCGATTCATTGTAAGTAAGATTATCTCAACATATCCGTTTTGCTATTTTCTTGCATTTCGTATACTTATATGTAAATGTTACTTTATCTGTAACTTTACATTTTTCTCTTTCTATATCCATCCTGCACATATTCCTAAACTTTACTTTCCTATACTTTCCTATACTTTCCTATACTTTCCTATACTTTCCTATACATTCCTATACTTTCCTATACTTTCCTATACTTTCCTATACTTTCTTATACTTTCCTATACTTTCCTATACTTTCCTATACTTTCCTATACTTTCCTATACTTTCCTATACTTTCCTATACTTTCCTATACTTTCCTATACTTTCCTATACTTTCCTATACTATCCTATACTTTCCTATACTTTCCTATACTTTCCTATACTTTCCTATACTTTCCTACTTTCCTATACTTTCCTATACTTTCCTATACTTTCCTATACTTTCCTATACTTTCCTATATATATATATATATGTATATACATGTAATATTATATATATATATATATATATATATATATATATATATATATATATATATATATATATATATATTATATATATATACATATATATATATATATATATATATATATATAAATATATATATATATATATATATATATATATATATATATATATATATATATATATATATATATATATATATATATATATATATATATATATATATATATATGTGTGTGTGTGTGTGTGTGTGTAAGTCTGTGTGTGCTCTTATTTGTGTATGTGTTAGTGCTTGTGTACAAACAAAATTGTGTGTGCCTTACAGTAATACCGAGTACAAGTGCCATATTGTACACATATGAATAACACCCACCTATTTCATCGTAATATTGATATTTTTATCGGAACACCAAAGCATCAGTAAGAACAGTAACTCCCGCATCCTGTGTGCCATATTGTACACATACGAGTACAAGTGCCATATTGTACACAAATGAATAACACCCACCTATGTCACCGTAATATGGATATTGGTATCGGAACACCAGAGCATCAGTAAGAACAGTAACGCCAGCATCCTGTGTGACATTTGAAAAAAAAATCCTGCAATGACACTCTGTATGTCTATATATTATGTCATTTCAGCATCAGCTTAAAAACACATAGTGACTTATCTAAAAGTTATGTTATCCAATTTGTAAGCTTACAACAAACACGTTTATTATTAACAGTTTTTGAAAAATAAAAGTGAACAATTAAAAATCTAAAAAAACTCGAACCTCGAAAAGTTCTCTTGCGTCAGGAGAGCTGAAGTAACTCCATATTTCATACTCTCGTTCATCGTAACTCATAAGACTTTTGCGGATCTGTTTTGTAAATATATTCCTATACAACTCATAAAGACTATACATTCGATCTAGTTTCATCTTGAAATGTTTTTTAACTCTAATCTAAACAATTTAACAAAATAGTAAGTATTAATGTATTACCTACTCGAATGATGCTCTGTGCAAAATCTAACGTTTCAGCATTTAAAATTTAGCTTACCTTTGATTTAAAAGTTTATCTTCCTTAAAATCATATGAGCCTATTTAATTCATCTTAGTGTCTCCCAATATATATCGAATTATGCATGAGTAGAGTGGGGCTCAGTAGCGTACGCAGGGGGGAGCAGGGGGAGCGGCCGCTCCCCCTCTGGCCATTTTCAACAAAGTGGCGCCTTTTTGGAAACTTTTAAAACTCAAAGTTTTAAACAATGATATTTGTTAAAAAAATATTTTTGGTCGGCACATCTATGTAAATCACAAGATTTCTTTTCATGCAGCAATTAAGCATTATTGTACTAGTCTAGTAGTGTCTACGTTTACAACACCTATTAACAGCTGCATCAGTTTGCCATTCTAAAAAAAAACCATTACGATGCATTGCAATGTTTAAAAAACCTCTACGGGTAGTACCACTTGGCAAGAGGGGTGTTAAGTTTAAGGCAACTGTATAATGTATTTGCTTACTAATAATTGAATTAGAAAATGTTATACATAAAACTTCACACATAATTACTTTATATATACAGTTTGAATCGTGAGATTAATTTTTGAAAAATTACAATACAGAAACAAATACAAGTGATGTGGCACCTCTATTTAAATTTACTTATGAGCAAACTGCGTAGTGAAGTAGTAGTATTCTTACAGTTTGTGCGATAGTGATTATATTACAAATTATATGAAACAGTTACAACCCCCCTCCCCCATGGACACCTCTGTAAAACAAAACATATTGTCATAATACCGCTGCTACTTATTTAAATCTATTTGTGTAATATATATTTGTGTAATATATATTTGTGTAATATATATGTATGTTTAGTACAGTCATAAAAACTGACGCTATGTTCACTCTGAGTTGGTTATCTCTCCCCCCCCCCCCCCCCCACACACCTCACCACCACAATTGTGTATAGCGATATTAATGTCACACCTAGGTATACACTGGGTTGGATAATTGACCTAAAGTGACCGGACAGTGATGAAGAAAGTTGACCCCCCCAACCCACCCCGAAATGATCTGTTAAGTACATGTAGAAAAACGCGTAATGATGTACCAAAGTACCATGCCGCCAGAAAATTAGCTTTTTAAACGTAAAACTCTGTGAATATTGTTTTTTTGCAATTACCAGTAAAAATGTGTGTGATCAATACAGTGATCTAACCCATACCTATCACTATGTTGAAAAATGATCTTTAAAGAAAACAAAGAAGTAGTAGCTAATTAAAAATATATGATCTGACTAAAAGACCGATATTTAGTTAAATGTAGGCAGTTATCCGGAATGTCTATCTATACAAACAAAAAGCGTGATTTTATACCAACTCTGATTTTAAAATCTTTCATTACGCTTTAATACTTTAGCATTTAAGATGACGATATATTAAATTCTGATTATAGACAAAAACATTTTGCAAACACGAATAGTGTTAAACAATTTCATTATATTCGAAAGTAATTATTTATTTGTTTTGACATTTATAATTAAATGTGTAGATATATAAATATTTATATTAAGAGAGTGATTATTTCCCCTATTACACTTGTCTTAAATAATTTCCCAGGAATTATTATGTAAGAATGTTTTTTTACAAGAATTACAAAACAGATTGCGTTACGTTCATTGTTTTTGGTTGTAGTGTGTATATATTTTTTTAGATTGATACAATTTTTGTTTTGTCGGCCTACATTGTGTGTTTTTTTTCTTATTTCTTCAGAGTGCTACTTTCAATTTATTTTACATCATAGCGAAGTAATGACATACACGTATATAGAACGTGTTAAAAATTCGGCGCCTTTTTTGCTCTTTTCGCTCCCCCTACAACGAAAACCTGGATACGCCTCTGGTGGGGCTATAAGGGATCGAAAATCTTTCTTCTTCGTTCTTAATTTTAGTGTTGGTAGGGATCTCCTTCAACACAATTAAGTAAACGTATCAATTGGTTATACACCATGGAGGCCATTGAATCCGATTTCAGCCTAGTTCTCTTTTTGGATTTTCTTTCATAGCCTTTTTCCAAACTACCAGACTGCAGTTGTTTGATTTTAGAATAGTCTCTGCTAGAAGAGTGGCTGTCTCCAGCTAACGAGCCTCATCTACCCGAGGGTTCGGTTTCGAGAATTTTCGGTTTAAACCATGAGCTTTACCGACTTGACCACGCCGACCCATATCGAAAATTATTTAGAAGATTTGAACACAAACGAACCTACTCTCATATATATATAAATATATATATATATATATATATATATATATATATATATATATATATATATATATATATATATATATATACAGTTAAGTGCTAATATTCACATCATTAGCAGTGACGTCATTTCCACTTTTAAGCAGCAAGACGCTCTGGTCAATAGCCAATAAATGGACGTTAGATTTAGGGTCAGCCGTGGTGACAACAGTGACATCATCTCCTGGTTCAACATCAGTCTTGTCCAGGTTAACGGTCACCTGTTTAACACAGAATTACCTTGTTTATATATTCTAGTTAGTTGCTCAGTTGATGCCACTAGAGGAATGTCATAAAGAGTATGTGTGTACCTTGTTTATATATTATTGTTAGTTGCTCAGTTGATGCCGCTAGAGGAATGTTATAGAGAGTACGTGTGTACCTTGTTTATATATTCTAGTTAGTTGCTCAGTTGATGCCGCTAGAGGAATGTTATATAGAGTATGTGTGTACCTTGTTTATATATTCTAGTTAGTTGCTCAGTTGATGCCGCTAGAGGAATGTTATAGAGAGTATGTGTGTACCTTGTTTATCTATATACTACTAAAAGTCAACTTTGTTTACATGTTTGAATATTTATTTGTTTGCCTGATCAAGTATCCTGATATGTTCGGCTCTATCTGGAGAGCTGTAAAATAGTATGTAGGTAGAGAATAATTTTTTAATGCAGACAGACTGTTAATCACAAATTTATTTAAAGACGTTAATTAATTTATTGATTTATTCATTGTTAAATTAACCGTATTTTTAAAAAAATGTTAATACTTTGAATAAACTTTGTGGGGATAGTGACGTCCCTTGATAGTGACGTCAGAGTTTTTTGTTGACTCTTTAGTACAATAAAATGGCGGCGTCTATCGAAGAAAATTGTGTTCCCATTCCAAAGTTTAACGCGTTCTAAATCTAATTTTCTGTCGGTCATAACTTTAACAATACGTCCGTTTGCTGTATTTATTACGTTCCAACACTTATATCAATTTTCAACTGTCTTTTTTCATTTAGTTTTACAATAAATTTCTCTAGATCTAAAGATCAGCTGTCGAAGGAAATTTATGAATCTAGCCTAGATCTAGATCTAGACTAGATCTAGATCACTAAACTCAATGTAAATTCTAAATCTAGACTTAATGTAAATTCTACATCTAGAATCTATTTCAGGCCTTAATTATTTTATATAAATCTTTGTTTGGCTAATTTAAGATAAAATTTAATTTGAAAGTTACTACTTCTAGACTAGACGCTCGAAATCAAGTTGCATCAAAGTATAGTATAAAAATTCATTTGTGACGTCACGAGTAAATAGCTAAGTTTGTAGCGTAGTCCGCTCTCATGCGAGTGGTACAGGTTCTAGACCAATATGTCAATGATTTTTTTTTTCAATTTTTTTTTTTTTAGATGTTAATGATAAAAAATGATTTTTTTTTTTTCAATTTTTTTTTTTTAGATGTTAATGATAAAGTTGCCTATCTGAACTTGGCAGGATACAGGGCAGGTGAAGTAGAGTTCATCTGTTTCTTTGTCCTAACCATATGAAAGGATAGTGTCGTCAGAGACATGCTCGGCTGGAATCGTTTTTTAAACGATAAAAACATGTTGTCTGAGACTTGGCGGGACACTGGGCAGGTGAAGTAGAGTTGAGTAGGTCACATGTGACGTCAGTATATGAAGGGATAGTCCGAAATCGGTGTTTTCGGTGTTTTTAAAAGATAAGAAACATATTTTTGAATGTGGGCTCTGTTTTTGTGACGATAAGTGACACTGCAGTAGCGTAGCGAGGAGGGGGGGGGCGGGTGGGGAGGCGGGGGGGGGGGGAAGGGGAGGCGGGGGGGGGGGGAAGGGGAGGCGGGGGGGGGGAGGGGAGGCGGGGGGGTGAAGGGGGGGGGGGGGGGCGGGGGACGTATGTTGGGGCGCCAAAATGGTTTGGAAAAATAAATTGAAAGGTTGAGGGGGGTTCAAATCGAAAGTTTGAGTGGGGGGGGGGGAGGGGTGCACATCAAAAGTTTGAGGGGGGGGGGGGTTGAAAATCGAAATCTTGGGGGGGGGGGGGGTTAAAATCGAAAAGTTTGTCCCCGGGCGCCGGGAAGGCTCGCTATGCCTCTGAGTGACAGACGTGATGTTTTTTGATGGATGACCCCCGAAACCCACAGTTATCCAACGGATGACGGGTATTCTAGTATATTCTAGTTAGTTGCTCAGTTGATCATGCTAGGGGAATGTTATAGAGAGTACTTTTGTACCTTGTTTATATCTTCTAGTTAGTTGTTCAGTTGATGTCGTTAGAGGAATGTTATAGAGAGTGTGTGTGTACCTTGTTTTTGAAAGCGCCACAGGCGTCAAAACTAAGACTGTCTGGGACAACTTCACCGTCTGGTCTGACGTAGTAGACGACGATTCTGGCAGAGGGCGCCATGTTGGGCTCAGAGACGACGGAGAAATTGACGCTCTTCTGGTTGTTGCCATTTATGGTGCCAGATTTTACTATGTTGCCTCGGGAGAGAACCTGTTTATAGAAAACTTAATCTGTAAGGGTTTGTTAATTGTTAACTAATTTGTTACGGTTTACTTAATGATTCATCAATGGTATGTGTACGGTAATCTTTACTGAAAAAAATAAACAGCATACCTGGTAAACAAGGGTAGGCAATTCTTCAGTACCGTTGATGGAAAATTGAATTGTATCCCCTGCCTAGAACAAGTGTTTACAGTAAATTTCACACGAAATGTGTATGATGGAACTGTGTGCGTGTGTATAATTAAAACTTGGAAAATGAAACTGATTGACTGTACGTAGTAAAAAATGAAAACGGTTTGCTTAGTCGTTATACGGCTGGTAAGTAGGTCACCAACCAGTTCTACGGCTCAATAAAACCTGCATGAGCCATAGAACTGGTTGGTGACCTACTTACCAGCCCTATAGTCAACATATGAGCTATGATTAACATATGGCTACTATCAGCATAGAGAAATGTGTTTGTGACATTCATGCCTAAAGCCTGTTACCATTAATTACATATCATTATTATTGTTACAAGAAAACATCATATTTCTATGGCATTATACCAATTTTAAAAAAATACATGATTCACCTAATAATACAATATGGTTTTTTTTTAATTACCTTTATAGAAGAAGAGTTCAGATAGATTTGGATGTAGGAGTTACTGGGGGAGTTGCTCTTTTTTATGTTCAGTCTTTCGTGCACGCCACGGAAGTCTGCCTAGAGACGGAATAAACGGACGCATTACTTCAGAAAATTAAAACTAATTTTCAATGTTACCCAATCGAAACTTAAGTAAAGACAATACATCAGAAAACTAAATCAAATTTTCCATGTTACCCATTTCGAATTTAAGTAAAGACAATACATCAGGAAAGTAAATTAAATTTTTCAATGTTACCCAATCGAAACTTGAGTAAAGACAATACATCAGAAAACAAAATAAAATTTTCAATGTTACCCAATTCGAATTTAAGTAAAGACAATACATCAGGAAACTAAATAAAGCTTTTCAATGTTCACCAATTCGAAATTAAGTAAAGACAATACATCGAATAACTAAATGTAATTTTTAATCATTTTCCCCAATCCAAACTTAAGTAAAGATAGTACATCAGATCAACAAAGTTCAAGTTTTATTTACCCCTTGTTTCAAATACCAACCATTTAGATTTTAATTTAGAACAACATAGAAGATAAGATAACCCGTAAGACGTACGATTGCACACAGCCTATAACCAACACTCACAGATATGATGACTATCTCGGCATAAGGTGGTGTCTGGACGACGATGTGGGTTAGACCGTTGCTAGGGACGCTCAAGGTCTGGCTCTGAATGTGATCGCTCAAATCTTGGAAAAAGTGCCAGCTGTTGTTGAAGACTCTGATATTGACCTTGATATTCTCACTGGTTGAACTGACAGGGAGTCCATCCGGCTGGGTGAGTTTGAGCTTGGGAAAAAAAACTAAAATAATCAAATTTGTGAAACGTGAAATAATCAAATTTGTGAAGCGTAAAGTAATCAAATTTGTGAAACGTAAAATAATCAAATTTGTGAAACGTAAAATAATCAAATTTGTGAAACGTAAAATAATCATATGTGTGAAAAGTAAAATAATCAAATTTGTGATAAGTAAAATAATCAAATTTGAAAAACGTAAAATAACCAAATTTGTGATAAGTAAATTACAACCAAATTTGTGATAAGTAAAATTAGTAAAATAATAAACTTTGTGAAACTTAAAATAATCAAATTTGTGAAACGTAAAATAATCAAATTTGTAATAAGTAAAATAATCACTTCATATGCCGAGGTCACAGAAACAAGTGAATTCTATTTTCAGGTTTGAAAAGGGAACTTTACTTTACTTAAAATAATCATATTTGTAAAACGTAAAATAATCAAATTTGTGAAACGCTATGTGTATATAATTTGATAGCTGTATTTGGCAATGCACTTTACATTTCAATAACAAAAAATGACAATAAACTGTAAGTTTTAGCTGATTTACTCCTGTTAAAGAAAGCTCTTCTATAATTTATATACTGTAACATAGATCAATTAAGAACTTACACCTTCTATTTACATTAAAAGACTCGAAATAGCGATATAATGTAAAGTACTTCAATAGGCAATGTTTTAAAGTAGTACCGTAAAAATATACACTAGGTTCAAAGTAGGGTAAAGGTTACTACTAGCTAATATGTAATTCGTTTGAATTATTGTTTTAAGAACATACATAGCCAATGTATTCCAAAGAACTTACATCAGCAAAATAAGGTAAAGTACTTACATAAGCAATGTACTGTAGACCCGGTTTAAAAGACTTGGGGTTGTTCTCCAGGTACACAAGTTTCACACCTTTGTCGTACAAGGTGACGGTTCCGCTGCCGGACATCTGGTTTCCGGTCAAGGACTCGGTCACATTGACAAAGACTTTAAGGGTGACATGATCCAGTGAGCGCCTAATTTCCTTGAGCTTTGACATGGGTACTATCACCCTAGTTTCTCCATCAATCTGACGAAGTTTTGAAAATAAAGATCAGGTTTTTAATATGTGTGAGTTTTTTTTTTTTTTTTTAACTTTTATCTTCATTCGGTTCGCAATTTTAGCGAATAAAACGTTTCTCGGGAGTATTGGTATTTTTTATATACATAAAATCACGATTTTGCAACATTTAACTGCCTTTTCTAAAACAAAGAACAACTCATTACGTTTAATCACTAAAACTAAATAGCTTTAAATCCCATAAATAAAAAAAGTGTTAATCACACATGAATTAGATCGGGTACTTGCATGAAACTGCAACATGTGATTTTTTTTATTCAGTAGGCAATTTACTCTCAAACCCTCTGAAATCTTCTTCTTCTTCTTCGTTCTTAGTTTTAGTGTTGGAAGGGATCCATTCCAACACAATTAAGTATACGTGTCAACTGGTTAGGCGCCATTAAAGCCATTGACTCCGATTTCAGCCTGCTTTTCTTTTTGGATTCGCTTCCATAGCTTTTGCCCAACCAAGAAGAAACTACAAGGTAGCAGTTGTTTGATTTTGGAGTTGTCTCTTCTAGAAGAGTGGCTGTCCCCAGCTAACGAGCCTCATCTGCCCGAGGGTTCGAACTCGAGACTTCAGTTCTACCGACTCGACAACGCCGACCCCTCCTCTGAAATAAATAATTGCGTTAAAGTGGATGAAAGTTGATATAGACTGGTCGCGGCCTTTTATTATATATATATATATATATATATATATATATATATATATATATATATATATATATATATATACATATATATATATATGTATAAATATTTAACAGCTAGATTTAGATCAATAAGATAAGATACAAAGTTGGTTTTTTTAGTAAATAAGTCAGTTTCCGAACGCATCCAGAAAAACACCAAACTATCAGAAATATAATAGTAAGGGATTGAAAATTAACCCTCTTGGCCGATATCTATTTGGATTAAAGAAAAATTCCTTTCTAATATAGACTTGATAGTTTTAAAATATCTATGAAAATGCATACATATTTAGTGATAATTAATATTTGTTTCATAACAATATCCCAGCAGCATAATTTTAAAAATGCATCATTTACTGTGACATTTTGTAAGTTTTTTGTTTACTTTTAAACAGCACATTGTAAACTATTTTTAACCAGTTATAAATCAGTTCAAGAGGTTGTGTATTACAACTTGTAAATTGAAAGCGAAATTTAAACTGCTTAGTCAAAACTTTTGTTGGTTAAGTACATTATTGGTATTGTTAATCTTTATAAAAAATTTAAGTCGTTGTTTTAATGAAAATATTTAAATTATTTGTAAACATGTTACCTGATGTCGTGTTATATTTTCCCTTTTTTTTAAATTCACTAAATGTCAGTTGTCTAGAGTAAATAGACGAATATGTAATAAAAACTACCACCTATTATTTAATTTTACACTTTATTTATAATGATATGCAATTATTACATCAGCCTCTAAAACGACTCAATTGATACCACAATATTTTATATTCATAGTAGCTTATACCCATGCTACGCTATGGTAAAACAAAAAACGGCGCGATGTTTTCCCTTCCTAACTCGCAATGTTATGCCGGTAGCCGGTCCCTTTTTGTATGGTGTGGATATGAGTATTCCAAATTCAAAGTTCGGATAATGATTTTTTGTTCGGTAAAGTAAGTAAAAGCTAGTAATAAAGATAACTCTTCGCCAACTATTAAAATTTCATACAATACCTGGTCATCTCCCCTTTTATTGTGCTGTGAGACACGCCACTTACCGCGACAAACTCAAGGTAGACGGTCATCGCCAGCCGGTGGCCGTGTGCGTTTACTTGGACGTTCGCGTTTCCTTTAACTGGTTTCCCATAGGTGTACCTGTAGAACATGCGAGATTGAATATTCTACTAGACTACCCGTCATCCCTTGGATAGCTGTGGGTCATCCATAATAAACATCACGTCTGTCACTTATCGTCACAAAAACCAGAACCCACATTAAAATAGACGGCACACCTCAGACGTTTTTGTCTTTTAAAAACACCGATTTCGGCTGAGCATAGGTCTGGCCACACTATCTCTTCATATGCTGAGGTCACAAAAACAGGTCAACTCTACTTCATCTGCCCAGTGTCCTCACAACTCAGACATGTTTTGTCTTTGAAAACACAGATTTCGGCTGAACATGGGTCTGACCACACTATCTCTTCATATGCTGAAGTCACAGGTAAACTATACACCTACCCAACTCTACTTCACCCGCCCAGTGTTCCGCCAAGTCTCAGATAACATGTTTTATCGTTTAAAACAAGGATTTAGGCCGAGCATGGCACTGACCACACTATCCACGGCATATGCTGACGTCAAAGAAACAGGTGAATTCTACTTCACCTGCCCTGTATCCCACCAAGTTCCGATAGCCATCTTTAGCTTTCACTTTAAAAAAAAATTGAAAAAAAAAATTTCTCATTGACATGATGTGTCTAGAACCTAGATAGATAAATCACTTTTATTTTTGATTTATATGATCCGTGAAGCTAAAAAGGAAAGATTTATATCGAATGTTTAAGGACTAAAATAGTTTAATAAAGAAACTCAATAATTTATTCTGATTTTAAAATGGTTTTTATTTTTAACTAATAATTTTGGTTTTACCTAGATTCTAGATCTATAAATAACTCCCTTCAACAGCGGATCTATAGATTCTAGATCCAGAGAAATTTATTGTATACTCAAATAAAAAGGACTGTTGAAAATTAATATAAGTGTTGGAATGTAATAACAATAGCAAACGGACGTATGGTTATAGCTATAGCCGACAGGAATTAGCTATATAATGCGTTATAATTTTGAATAGGCAACAATATCTTGTATGGAAGCCGCCATTATTGTTGTAAAAAGTAAGTAAATCATGTGACGTCACTATTCACTATAAGTAAAGTCATTGTTCTGAACTTTTATAACTAATGTGGTTAATCTACCAATGAATAAATCAATAAATTAATTAACGTCTCTAAATTAATTTGTGATTAACAGTCTGTTTTTTTTTTAAATTGTTCTCTTCCTAAATACTATTTTACAGCTCTACACATCGTGCAGATTCTCTCCTGTAACCAAACGGAAAAACAAAAAAAAAAAACAAATAAATATTCAAAACCGACTTTTTAAAAATAAGGAAATGCACAGAAGGGGAGCTTTTATAGAATATGCTGCTTCACGAGAATATGATATATAATTAGAAAATACTGAAGGATTTAAAGAGCCGGAAATACCACGTATGGTTATCGGAAATATTTCAAAAGTTGAAGAAAAAAAAAAGAAAACCTACTTATCGTACCTAGGACCAGTGTAAGAAATATTTTTTTCATCTGATTAAAGCGATGCTTAAATTGTCGTAATTTCGTGTTTAAAAGTTAGATTTAAAGTGCGAAGAAAACGAAATAGTGTCAATCAAATCACATCAACTCACTTCGCCTTAACGGTAAACGTGATGTCAGAATCGCTGGTCAGAACGTAGGGTGGCATGATGACCTCGACTTCAAACTTGGGTAGAACTGAAAATTGATTTTTTTTTTAAATTTAAAAACTTAATTGCAATAATAAAGACTTAATACTGTCGATTTCAGTAGCATAAAAGCTTAAACAAAGAAATTATAGAATGTATTTAAAGAAAAATGTCAAGTATATAATCAGTATCATTGTCGTTATTGTAGCTTCTAATCTATTTATTACGAGAAATGTCAGATTTTATGCTATGAGGACAATAAACTACAAGAAAGAAACAAAAATAATTTTATGAAAGTTTAATGCTTTATTGTTCACGAACTATGTTTGATAGTGCGTGACTGTTTTATTTGACTGAATTTTTGTGTGTTCTGAAAAGAAAGGTTACTCAAACATACACAGAAAAAAGTAAGCAGTCATTGAATACTTGCACCGAATAAAAAACATACGAATAAATGACAGGCAGGAATAAAGAGATACAAATATGATATATATGATAGGAGACTAAACGAAAACGTCAATAGGTGTTATTTTGTCAGACTAAAAGAAAAAAAACTTACCATACTCAGCTACAGTAAAGGATTTCTCTTCTTTCATGTCCTGAAAACAAAGTTGAAAAACTGTTTGATCAAAATGTAGTCTATATCCAAATATTACATTTAACAACGGCAATTATCTCACCTTTATATTTCAAGTGAAGTTATTATATCGTATAGGTATAGGATTAATAATTATGGTTTTATGTAGAAACCATTTTACATAGTAAAATATTGGAATGGCTGTCTAACAAAAAACTAGATATTGAAAACATGTTACTCCGGCTTCCACGGCCACTTTCCAGTCCCCAAGAACTGGTCTGGACGAAAGGGTCAGCTCCTGGGCGATGACCCCTTTTACTGGAGTGACCTTGACCCACTGTTTGATCTTGTTGTCATGTGAATCCTGTCTCCATAAAAATACAATTTTTGTTAAGTCCAGTAACTTCGGAAAAAAAACAATTCATATATTTGTGTATTGAATCAAATTCGCACGGTTATCGTTAGATAAATTACTCACGTAAATAGAAACATCCATTGCTTCATTGTAAGTCTGTAGATCAGAATTCACGCCGAAAATTCTAAATTTCACTGCAAAGAATAGATTTAGCTACTGTAAAATTAGTAAAGCCTAAATTACCTAAAAACTAAAGCATAATTTGTCATTACAATAATAGAAACATGGATACAAAATAATAATAAAAATTACAGTCAAAGGAGAATTCTGTCCATAGGTGGTTACAATTTGAACTTTTGACTCTTCGCATCTAAGGACTGAGCACAGTGAACTAGGCGGTCAAGCTAACCGAGTTTGCACACCTTATTGTAGTCTAGTTCTTATGCCATTATGTCATCGTATTTATTCCATAAGAAACAAAACCATTTAAAACTTTGCAAACGCACAAGAAAAGGCCAACCAGTCATGAAATACCAAATGGAAGTTTTATTGGAGAGAAAAAAACAACAACAAAGAACTAACTAGTTAAAATTAAAAAAAACTAGAATACAAATGTTTAATGGAGCTACATAGTATTACTGTTGTAAATCTGTATCAATCCTCACAAGCCGAAGATAAAAATTAATACTAAAGCGAACATGCAAGGCAAACTGACGCTGTAAATTACATGTTTGAGGTGGGAAAAAAGAAAGAAGAAAAAAAATGTTTAATGGAGCTACATAAACTTCTAATTTCCTGTATCTCTAGGCTTAAAGATGGCCTTATATAAACGTCAACCTACCTGATCACTAGGCTTACAGTCGGCCTTATATAAACGTCTACCAACCTGTATCACTAGGCTTACAGTCGGCCTTATATAAACGTCTACCTACCTGTATCACTAGGCTTAAAGATGGCCTTATATAAACGTCTACCTACCTGATCACTAGGCTTACAGTCGGCCTTATATAAACGTCTACCTACCTGTATCACTAGGCTTACAGTCGGCCTTATATAAACGTCTACCTACCTGTATCACTAGGCTTACAGTCGGCCTTATATAAACGTCAACCTACGTGATCACTAAAGATGGCCTTATATAAACGTCTACCTACCTGTATCACTAGGCTTAAAGATGGCCTTATTCAGCTGTATAAACAACGAAGCCTCTTTGCTGTTGTAGCTGAGACCTTCTGATTTTTCAAACTCCAAACCACCCCCGCCAATGACTTTAAGGGTGTAGCCGCTGTCGGGCAGGTCAGCGGGGAGCTGGGGCAAACATTAGAGGATTTGATGAACTGAAACTAACTCAAACTTCAATTTTATTTTTTTGTTTATTTTTTTTTTAAATCTTAAACTGCCTAATTTGAAAAACATATCATCGAAGAGTGTGCTTGAAGATTTAGTTCTTAAAAGGGAAATATAAACGGTACACGTTTCAATGATTTAAAATAAGTAAATAATAAAATATGGCTCACTTTTATGGTCATTGTACTCGGGGTACCTTTGAAAGAAAAAAATAACACATAATTTTAGTTTTTTTTTTTCAGTTTTAAATTTGTTATCGAAGTATGGCTACAGAAAAGCCGAATTGTAACAGACACGTTTTGGTCTATGTGAGTTAAAATAACACGATAATATTGACACAGGTGTCACAACATTAAATAAATGTCATTGGTGATACCACAATAATGATGTTGGTGAAAGAGCAATTATGTCATTAAAAGTAAAACAAAAAGTAAAGAATCCTCTTAAGACCTAGCAATCCAATAGGGAGAAGAAGTGCAGTTCATGCGTTTCTTGACTTAGTGTTAGGGTTAGGGTTCATGCGTTTCTTGACATAGTGTTAGGGTTAGGGTTAGGGTTAGGGTTAGAGTTAGGGTTAGGGTTAGGGTTAGGGTTCATACGTTTCTTGACTTAGGCATAAATGTATGGTCAGCACTTTACCCACCCGCCTTTATTTTTCTTAACGTGATTCGAACTCGAGACGTTCGGGTTAGCAGCCTATCGCTTAGGCCACGACTTCCCCCAATTATGTCATTGGTGATACAATAGTTGCATAGTTTTATACAATAATTATGACACCTATAATCTATATATATATATATATATATATATATATATATATATATATATATATATATATATATATATATATATATATATATAATTTTCTACGTCGCCCAACCGTGCGGGACACCACGCACTCACGCACGCCGACTCTCTATTCCTCCTCCTGCCCCACCCCCTCTCTCTCTCTAGGTATGCGCAACAGTATGTACCAACACATCATATTTGGACAACTGTGTCTTTCAGGAAGTCTTCACCCGTCACTAAATAGCGGCGTACGTTGTGCCGTGGGTCGGCCCGTAATGCAATAATAACGTTGGAGATAAGCAATACGGAAATAGCTGATACAACAATTATCAACAGGTATTGACATAAAGAATCGTTCACTCACCGGCTTTAAAAACGTTCACACCACTAGCCACGAGAGTTTCTCCCCTTAGAACTTGGGCGTCTACCGTGACGTAACTGGTGGCCTTGAGAATGTTGACGCTGATGGTGAAGTCCATGTTGGGGCGGATCGTTGACGGGGCGATGACGACATACGAGCTGGATTATTCGAGAATATATTCTGGTAATTGTGTTATATGTAAATGTAAGTGTAGAACGGAGGATTGCGTGATTTGTTTTAAAATTATGTTTTACAAAATTTAGGTGATCAATACTACAGCGTGTATTATTCGATGACAATTTGAGAATTAATTTGTAAATGGATATATTTTTATTGTACTTGTATCTAAACTTCAAAAAAGCTATTTCTTAATTAACGATCGGGCGATTATCAGTGTTTCTTCCAGACTTTTTTCTCCGGGGGGGGGGGGGGGGCACTAAAATTTCAGAGGGGGCGGACACTGTTAAAAGTATAGATTTTCTATATAAATTCCATTTTGTTTCGGGGGGGGGGGCGGTAGAATTTCTTCGGGGGGGGGGGGGGGGGCAAAGAGATTATTATTGTGGTACACTTGGCTCTAAAATATCTTGGTATTATGGTTTTAAAATGAGGAAAATTCCAAAAGTCACGAGTGCTGAGCAAACCCGGCCACAAGACCGTGGGATATTCATTGACCCCCCCTGGAGAAATTAAATCCTTTTCTGCATGTCTTACACTAAAAGTTAAGTTAGGATCTAACTTAAAGAGGGTGTCTACAGCGATTGAGTGTAGATCAATAACTGCTCGACGCGTGTAAAGTGTTTTTTCCAGAATGAATGTCCCATACTGGACTGATATTTAGGTGATTCTGTTGGATACTGGGGAATCTATGTAGTGTAACGTTGTAACTTTCACTCAAGGGGTAGAGTTGGTCGGGTTTGTGAAGCTCATGGTTGCTAAACCGAAAAGTCCCTAGTTCGAACCCTCGGTCAGATTAGGCTCGATGGCTGTGGACAGTAACCCGTCTAAGAACAAAAGCTATGGGGGCATATACTAAAAGCAGACATGGTTGTATTTTGTACTTAATTTTGTTGGATGAAATCAGGTCCAACATTTCAATTAAAAACAAAGAAGAAGAAGAGTTTTATATCAGTGGCGATACCCTTTATCTTTTTGTTTAAGCGTCAAACAAGATGGAAGTCATCAAAATATCATGATGTACCTTGTATAAAATGTATCAGTGTAATTATTAGTAATGTGATTTCGGTTTACCAGAGGAGATGTAGTGAAATAAAGGTTGAAACAACACACATCACATGTGTCTCCAAATATTTGCATCAAATAGATCTCTGTCTTTCACTTACCATACTATAGATCTAGTCTAGATCTAGGTGCCGATAGTGGTTTTTTACTAACTATAATGTAAAATGGACAAAACTCATACTAAAATAAAAACATTGAGATCGTTCTCTTTCTTAGCATTTATAAACCCTCTTATAAGATTTTACTCACTTTTTAGCACACACGGCTGTAATAACAACCGCGAAAAGAACTAACACCAGCATCTTGTTGCATGCAACAAAGGAAGGCAACGGTACGAATAGGCTAGATGGACTAGACCTAGTGACTATTGTTTAATAATTAAATCGTGTGATTTGATGACTGCCATTGCAAATGGGTGTGTCGCGTTCAGCTTAGATGCTGAAAGGGACGGAAAATCCCGATTACGCTAATACAACTTAATTTTAAAATGTGTCTATTGACATCAAATAAGAGCGAACTATAAATAGTACGTCAAAAATATTTGGAAAGTTAAGAACGTGATTCATTAAAAGCCAATGCTTATATTAATTAGCTCTTCGTTAATGTAACATATAGGTAATAAAATACAATAAAATAAAAGTAGAATTAAAAATTATTTTTAAACTGAATTTACTCTTGCGACATGTATATTATACAAGTATAGGAAAGATAAGTTACCAATAACTGAGTTGCGCCCCCACCCCCACCACATACAATCATGTTGTATTAAATTAATTTTTGGCGAAGTTTTTTTTTTAAATTCTAGACGAAATGACTTGTATTTTATTAACTCCCCCCCCCCCCCCTGGCACGTTTCATTTTATTTGTCAACTGGCAAAAACAGCTAGTATCAAGATGATCACTCCTTAGATCGGAGAAATTTGTCTTTACCGCTTATTGCTATAGTAAAAATAAAAAGACAACGTTACAGTAACGCTAGGCAAACAATAAACGACTTGAGTTAAAACATTAATGTGTACAGGGCTGCCTATGAGGACACCTAAAACACCATTGTTTCACCGTTCGCTTTGTGTTCTTTAGCACTACATAATTTATCCACTGATTATCTGTAACGTAACGCCGACCCTAAGCATCCGTCCTCAGTTGCTCGCTTGACTTCTTGTAGATAAAAAGTAATGTTAATGGATGGACTTGGTCTTTAGATCTGTTAACATTTCCAGTCAAGTACAATACATTTTTTTTTCTCTCTCCGTAAAACAAACAATACCCTTTTATCCATAGATGGGTTTAAACATTGATTGTGCTATTAGTTAAAGGCTGATAGTTAACTATTAATTGCTAGTGCAGCCTGTTGACGAATTCTATAGGTTTACGGTTTTGTCTCGGCGATTCGGGAAGAAGGTAACGTTTTAATGTCGCTTTAAATATTCATTGTCAACTTCTGGTGGATAGGGAAGGAATGGTGAACGAGCTGCACAAAATTAACAGCGTCTGTGCAGAGGTTCAAAATGCAGGTGTACTGTCTGATAATTCTGGTAGTGACTTACACAGGTTATAACATTTTTAAACTTTTTTGACTTTTTTGACTAGCATATAATAAATATAGACGCAAAATTATTAAATAATGGATAGTTTCACCAACAGTGTCGTATTTACGGAGAGGAGAAGCGTCCTTTTAAAATATAATTAGTAATAAAACAGATAGTGTTAGTTATCTCACAAGTTAAAGACAGCTACAAATACTATGGGTAAGTAAGTGTCTTTAACTTGTGAGGTAACTAACACTTTTGTTTTATTACTAATTGAATTAACCACACTGCAGCTACCATTTGTATTTAAAATATAAAGGCTTAATTATATTATATTATATTATATTATATTATATTATATTATATTATATTATATTATATTATATTATATTATATTATATTATATTATATTATATTATATTATATTATATTATATTATATTATATTATATTATATTATATTATATTATATTATATTATATTATATTATATTATATTATATTATATTATATTATATTATATTATATTATATTATATTATATTATATTATATTATATTATATTATATTATATTATATTATATTATATTATATTATATTATATTATATTATATATATATATATATATATATATATATATATATATATATATATATATATATATATATATATATATATATATATATATATATATATATATATATATATATATTTATATAAGAATTTTTTAAAAACATCCCTCTGACAAAGTTCATCTCTACTTAACTTTTCATCAACGTTAATGTTAATTGAATTAATCCATAGTAAAAGGGAGGAAAAAATATTTTTAAAACAATTTAGCCTGATATTTAATAAAAAAAATAAACGCCAAACTTAAAGCCTCTTCTTTTGTTAAATTCACTTTAGTGTTTCAGAAATTATTATAATTTCCAAAAAAATGTTTTTAAATTTTATCCAGCGTGTGCCCGCAATGAAGGGAGAGAATTCGTTTTGGCCTTCCCAAAATCGCAACACGATTTCAACTCTACAAGCTTGACTTTAGTCTGTGTAGGCGACCAGCTCGTTACAGTAACAGGTGAAATAGTGCAAACAGCTATTTTTTTCCTTTCTACATTAATAGAGTATTGTTTCTTGCAAGGAAATGTATTTACTTTCTAAATCTTAAGAATTTTATTTTAAGATATAATCCAGTGTTCAGAAACTCTGTTATGTAGCTACTAATGTGCACAATTATCTTAAAATTGTTTGTAATATTTTTTTTAAA